TCTACAGCCCTGACAAAATATCCGTCACCCAAGGCAGCAGCTTCTCCATCACTTGCTCAATTCATTCCAGATATCCTGGAGGTTTCTTCTATCTGATAGAGTCTAACTTGAACACCACTGAAGCGATAGCAGCATTTGGCCACTCAATCTTCTACTTGGCATACTTTGAATTCCCACTGATAGATTACAAAAGCCAAGGAGAGTATTACTGTGTCTACGGTGTTAACATCTCCTCAAGGTCCTTCTGTTCTGTTCCCTCCAAGTCACTCCAAGTAACTGTAGTCGGTAAGATCCAAAGAGCCCATGAGAGTTTATTCGTGTTATTATAGCTGGTTTTTCCATCACCAACTCTTCTACTTGATCTTTTAACCCCTACAGCAACATCCTCCTCAGTCGCCTTAGGAGTGGTTATGGGTGGGCTTGTGGTGCTGCTACTTGTGCTGGTTATAGGTTACCTGGTCTGGAGAAGGAGAAGGTGGGGTGCTGGTAAGTTGCAGCAATACACACTTTAATATTACAAAATGCCCCCAATGCCCCCTTTGTCTTATTGTTATATAATGCGTCTAGATTGTTTAAAGCTGTACCAAGTAATATATATATGCAATTATAATATGAAATTTGCAGCTTTAGTGACAAACCAACTGATGATTATCACTCGACTGTGGATCAGATAACGCAGGTCTAAAGATGACATACACCTAGTTGCTCTGGATTTCTCCAGTATTTAATTCAGCTCAAAACTTTTTTAATTTGTTTTACTTTTCAGGTACCATGGTTCAGTTTAGTAACAGGTTTGGAGGAGCAATAAAGCCAGATACTGAAGACATGATCAATGGAGCACTTGATGGAAGGTACTAAAAACAACGTAGCTGATATGCACCATTTTATTTTATATCAAGCAACTTTAAAGACATCTTTGTGATTGCAATTGTCACCCTCCTTATCTCCCTCAGAGGCCAAAATACCCAAGTGAATGAGCATACACGCAGTCGTGGCCCAGAAGACTTCAATGCTGATGTTGATGACTCTGTTGAGAGGGTCTCTGAAGACCTGGCTGGGAGAGTGTGTTATGAGCTTGAACCACTCGTTCTCTCGTGATGACCAAATGCGGAATCAATAACCTATGTCATGCAGTTTCACTAAATATAAAGAGTAACATAGCACCTGGCTGAAAGTCTGTTGCACCAGAAACACACTAAACAGTGATCGGTTCATCAACACACCCTGACGTGCACTTCTACATCACTGCAGTTAAGAGAGAAGGGACCACTGAAAATGTAATTTTCAATAACATACATGACACTTGTTTAAACGGGCAACACTTGTTTTCATACTTATTCCTGAAGTGATTTTTGTTTTTCTGCGAGATTCTGCCAATCACAAAGCTAAGGTCCACTGTACTGTGGGAAGATACTGATTACAATGTCTTTGTATTGCATGAAAATTGTCTTTATTTGTTATATGTCATCTGATCAATACATTTGTATTCCTTACAACACTTGCACATTTTCATTTGGCAGAGTTTTGGATTGATTACACCCTGCAGATTAGGGAGCAAATAGGATTAAAGTTGACCAAAACAGCAGCCAAGATACAATATATTCCATCAAATACAGAAAGGAATTCCTAACTTGTGTAAATCCTTTACATCACAATCATCAGTAATTATCTTAACACAATAGTCACAATGTCGAAGCAGCAAAAATTGAATTCAGCCATCATAAATTTCATCATTTACATCTGTGCTTTTCCTGTCTAAATATCCTCCATGAAAAAGGCCTGTGTAGTGGTATAAAAGGTACCTCTGAAATGTGGTGGAGTTGAAGTACAAAGTAACCCAACCTGGAAATAATTGAGTCAACAAGTATCTCTAAATGTGCTTATGTACAGTAATTGAGTACATGTAATTAGTTACTTCCACCACTGGTGTGTGTTTTTACCTTCACAATTAGCACAGCCAGGCTCTACAACTGAAATGGCATGTCACACAAGTGGGTGTGTCCATGCAGGCAGGTGAGTCGTGTCCAAACCTGCTCACCTTGTCTGCTGTTGCATCAAAACCAGCTCCACATACCTGCATTCAGGACACTAGAACAGTCTGTCTTCCTGCATTTTCTTTGTTGTTCTTGGTAAAGTAGCAGATATGTCGATCAAAGTGTATTACACCAGCGTGAGCAGTTCCAAAGAGGTACAGTATGCAATCTTACTTGCTTCATTCTTTTACTTGTTTTATTATAATGCATTGGCTTATTAGTAACATTTGACAAAAGGCATAAGGCATGTTGAATTCAGTATTTCATACTTCACATGTAAGGTTTGTTTCTGTAGACAAACTGCTCAATGTTGACCGTGTATGTAACTGATGAAAGACTGTCCTTTCCAGATCAAGAAATGGCAGCAACAAATCTTCGACATCCTGAGCAGCAAGAAGATCAAGCACGAAGCTGTGGACATTGCTCAGGATGTTAAAGTCAAGGATTTAATGAGGGACTTGGTAGGGGACCCGACTGCACTAGCCCCTCAGATATTCAATGGAGATAACTACTGTGGGGTAAGTCTCACACAATAACCTGCAAATGTATAATACGGCATATTGACAAAAACACTTTCTCAAAAGTAATAGAATGTCAATAAAATGTTAATCATTTACGCACTTGCTGCATTTGGAAAGAGGAAAAAATACTTTGGTAGTCTAGGGAGTAGACACAGCAATTGCATAAATATTTACAGTGTAGTTTATGTACACATACACGCACGCTATTAACACACAGGTATGTTGGCACACACCCTATAATAACTCCCTAAAGACACACACCCACATTCCAGGTTGCTCCTGGAGGGTTCTGAGTCATTTCATCATTCAGCTTTCGTTGTGACAGAAAAGCTGCTCTGGCTTTGGGAGTGCAACTTTGATCCTTACAGGTTGCAAAAAAAAAAAATGAAAGGTAATCTTCAATCTTGGTAATCTTACCAAGAGTATGCTAAATTTAAAAAAAATCATCCAACCGAAAAACCCAGCCCAGTGTTGCCAAATCTTTTACAATGAAAGCAGCTAGCAGCACCAGCTCCAGAAGTTGCTAAATATAGTAAGAAGGTCGCCAAGTCGGCAACACTGGCAGCCCGTCAATTCAGGACTTCTTTCAGAGCCATTCACCGATCATAATCATTATGAACGTAAACAGATTATAATGAACCTAAACAATATTGCTATTGTTCGTACTCAGCTTGTGAAAAACTCCGGTGACAAGCAAAAGTTTTCGGGTAGAATAAGCAAAAGCAGGCAGGCTTATTACAGTCCTGCGACAGCCACAGACACCAGATTTCTTTTCTTTTTCAGAGCATTTGATTCATTGATTGCTGTCTGGATGTAATTAGAATTTCATCAAAAACATAAAAACTTTTTTAAAGAAGATTACCAACCCTGCCTTTAAGAGGTACAAAGTACTATATAGTTACGATTATAACGTGATCATTTTTAGTTACGTTTAGTTCGAGGATTATATAATATGTACGGCACACACTCTCTACAGTATATGATGATTAATACATATATTAAGATTAGTTTGAAAAATGTGTATGATAACTGCTACTATCTCTCTGTCTCCATCCACCCTCACCCACAAATCTCTGACTCCCGACACCCTTTCTTTCTTTCTTTTAGGACTACAAAGCATTTGAAAATGCAATCGAGGAAGAAGCATTGGAGAGTTTTCTCAAGATCTAAAAGGAATAGGGACCTGCTTTGAGACAACAATAAATATATACTCTATAAATATTTCTGTTTCCTTTTGTTTTATTCTGATAGATGCCTCATTCATATTTGATGGATAATACCCAAATTTAGGGAATTTATTTGTTTTACAGTGAAGTGGAAGGGCTTGCCTTCTTTTCAGGGTAAGGCTTTTGAGTTGTAAATCTGTGCAGTTTGAAATGAAAATTTTTAAATAAAACACTGCCTGCTGCACTCATTAACATGAGTATTGTCATGTCTTGTTTTTGTAAAAGGCTAGTACAAGTGGTATACGCATATCTGCAGATTTTCAAATGAGCTGAGATAGTTACTGTATAATCTGGCTTTATGGAAACACAATAATGTACACATAATGGTAAGGATTAATATTGTGGCCAGCTAGGGGTTTTCCTTTAGAAGACCTCAACAATACAAAGTGTTCAGTTCAGCTGGGTTTTTTATTAACTAATCAGATCAGAGCATCAGCACAGCAACATATAAATTAAGATAAGATAAAATAAGACAATCCTTTATTAGTAGAATTTACAGGATTACAGCAGCATATAGTGCAAACAAGAGCCATAGTAAAACAATTATAAATAAGTAAATAAGTAATAAACAGTAAATAATATTAAGTAAAAAAATCCACAATAACTCAAATATAACTAAAAATATTATACAGCCAGAATATTTTTTTATTGCATGATGTTGTGTTGTGTGGTCTACTGGGAGCACAGCTGGTTGTGCAGCCTGACAGCGGCAGGAAGGAAGGACCTGCGGTACCTCTCCTTCACACACCGGGGGTGAATCAGCCGGTGGCTTAAGGAGCTGCACAGAGCTGCCAGGGTGTCCCGCATGGGGTGAGAGGTGTTGTCCATCAGGGGTGATAGCTTATCCATCATTCTCCTGTCTTCCACCACTTCCACCATTTCCAGTGGACACCCCAGCACACTGCTGGCCTTCTTGACAAGTTTGTTAAGTCTCTTCCTGTCGGCTGTCGAGATGCTGCTGCCCCAGACCATAGTGTCACCAAAATTACACACAACCACACTTAAAGGTTACAGGTCTAACCATAGTGACAGAAGTAACCACAATTTATGTGTGAACTAACAAAATGCGAAACTCAACAGTATGCAGAGTATATTCTCACTTCTTTCAATGTTTGTGCACGCTTTGTAAAGGGTCAATATTGTATAACCATGTAAATGTTATCTTATATTCTGTTTTTAGGTTTACTTTGTAACAACTGCCTTGGGACTACTGATGAAAAATAGCCTCTTGGCTAACTCTGGCGCATTTACAGCAATGTTTTTATTAATGTGCACTGTCCCTTATCAAATAAAGCAATACAAAATAGCTTAAAATGTACATTAATGGAGTGAAATGTTAATACGAGTAACTCTTTCAGGGACTCTGGAATATTGGACAGTATCTTACTTTTTTCAGTTGTAAAAGAAAACAAGAATAAAAACATTACATGACATTGAGTTTTGTTTTACAAATTATAGTTATTTTACTGTTATACTGCATACTTTCCATGTATTCATTAATTTAGTTATTTATTAATGTTTTATCTATTTGTATTTCACCTGAGCATTGAAACTACATCAGGCAGCACATTGGACGCCATTGCACAGACGGGGGCCTGGTGAACTTAAAGCAATGTCGCACGGATATGACGTCCTCTTTAACCGCTACCCGTGAGGAGGACAGGGTACGTTTCTTCGACTGCCGGCACAATCTAGAAGATTAATCAAACATCTCAATATATAAATTCAACACAGTGAGCTGTTTGTGATGGATAATAACTCTCCTTTCATTTCCGTTCTTTATTGCAGAACTTTAAGTACACCATCCATCATTAATCAACAATGGCCGAGGAAGGGTGAGCATGAAGCTTTTTATGTTGTTGCTAAAGTTAGCCCACAATACGGGATTTCTAACCAACAAAACGGCGCTGACTTTCTGTGGAAAATGGAAGTGGCAGTGTTAGTGATGCTGTAATTTTAAAGTATTTTGATAAACGTCACTTGGTGCTGGCGGTGATAACTGTTAGGTGTAGCCTGTTGATTTGCACAAGCTAAAGCTAACCGACTTGCTTCGCACAGTTGCATGATAACGGAGAAAGGGGCAACTTCATAGCTCCGCGTGTCATATTATTAAGGTTACAGCAGTCAAGCATACAGTGTGTGGATGGTTTAACGTTCATGTGCTTGCTCTGCTAAGTCAAGTAACTTCACTATGTGTCAAAAAGTCAGTGGTTGTAGCAACGTGAAGATGCTACATGAATTGTACTAAACTGATTCCCACTATGAGCAGTAATCTGAATTTAAAAGTAGCTGAAAAAGCTCAAAGCACTTCAACTTGATGGCATATGCAATATTTAATGAAACCAGATAAAATGAAAATAAGCATTCCATCTGTACTGAGGCATAAACCTGGATTTTAGGTGAGCTCTGGCGCTTGAATGATGACTTAACTTTCTTTTGTCGGATACCCCTTCACTCATCAATGAGTGAGATCCTCTCTCTGACAATGCCGGGAAGCTCTGCTGGAATCCACTAATTTGCCATGTCCATATTGGTGAAGTTTCAACGTTTCCCCCCCCTTGTCCACCTGTTTTTGATAGCGTCGCAGCTGGAGGTGTGATGGATGTCAACACTGCTCTCCCTGAAGTGCTCAAGACCGCACTCATCCACGATGGCCTCGCCCGTGGTATCCGTGAGGCTGCCAAGGCCCTGGACAAGTAAGTTTAATTATTTTAAGTCATCAATATTTGATTTTGTTCTCAGTGGGTGTATCTCTGATGATATCTTGGCTCACTCTACTGAACTCTAGTGTGGAAGCTTGCCAATGTCACCCAATTTTTGTCTGAGATGTGCTGTCAGATTTTGAGATGCGCAAATGAGTGTATATGGCCCTACTGCAATTATTTGATGACTTTGTGTTCTTTTGCAGGCGTCAAGCCCATCTCTGCGCCCTTGCAGGCAACTGCGATGAGCCCACTTATGTGAAGCTGGTGGAAGCCCTCTGTGCTGAGCATCAGATCAACCTGATAAAGGTACTGAGCTTGCTCCCCCACACCAAATTCACATGTTAAAATGAAAAGCACGAGGTCATGAAGTAATGTTATTGATCAAGACTTCAGACACTGACATTTGAGTTGGAAGTTGGCATGATGTGTCAAGAATGCTACTGTTGCCCAATTTCTGTATTGTATTGTTTAAAAACTTGTGACGACACTTGAGTGAACATTAGTCAGGTGTGACAAGTTTAAAAATGCTGTCTTCACTTCTATTCAGGTGGACGATAACAAGAAGCTCGGCGAGTGGGTCGGTCTGTGCAAGATCGACCGCGAGGGCAAACCCCGCAAGGTTGTGGGCTGCAGCTGTGTCGTGGTCAAGGTAAATGATGCTCTGGGACTTTATATTTGGCCTGCTTTCAAGCCAAAAACCCAATGGAATTGACGTAACTCCCTACATATTGCTGTTAAGTAGATGCATTGAGACTCAACGAGATCTGCCAGTCAAGTGCAGGTGCTGTGCCTTGTGCCATGCAGCTGTTGTTGATAACATTTGGCTAGATGACTGCCAGGGTACGAGCCCCGTCGTCTACCTGTGATGTCTGGGGCCCCTAAGAATGGCTACAAATAGGAACATGTGACAGAGCACCACGAGTGACTGGTCATCACTGTAATCCTTCTTTTAAACTCAGCTGTGGGAGCTGTATTTGTCCAAATCAAAATACCTCTGTTTTAATATCTAGTTTCCAAAGATATTAGTTCTGTATTTTGGGAAATGTGTAAGATGATGCACAAGACAACTAGAGTATTTCCACGTAACATGTTTATAATGGCTTCAAAATGTGGGAACAAGCGGATACATAGAATGTGTCAAAAGTGTTGCTCTACTTGGTGTCATTTAGTGCAAAGCCTGAAAGATGTTTTTTAGGCCGGATATTTGAGTGTTAATACAAACTTATAATGGCATGTACCTTTAAGAAAGTAAGATTTGGTTTGCCAACATGTATCATATGTATTGGATAAACTATTATATATCTGAAATTACACCTGTCACTCCGCTTTGGTAGAGGCAGTTTCTAAATCAAAGTTTCCTGTAGAGGTTTTTACTTCTAGTAGCGAATGGCTCCACAGTTTTCAGTCTCGTGCACCCAATGGCCACTGAATAGTAGCGTTAAAAATGCCAACTTATACCGCAATGTAAATAATGCTGTATTTGAAATGCTTGAGTTGGCTTTGCACATGTTTTATGAGGAAGTAAATGCACTAGAACTACGTCTTTAGACCTCAAGGATCCTCACAATGTAAACACTTTAGTTTACAAGAATACACATGGCCCCCTTTTTTACATTGTTTTTAGATGATCTCAAACACACCTTTGGCATGTCTGTGCTGATATTTTGGTTGACATACACTGACACAGATGTGACTTAGATTAACTGGCCAGTAAAATTACCAGGGCTGTGATTTGATGCTTAGCAGAGTCTCTACCCTGCTCATCTCAAACTATCTTTCTGTCTACAGGACTATGGCAAGGAGTCTCAAGCAAAGGATGTGATTGAGGAATACTTCAAAGGCAAGAAATAAAATGTCAATAAAAAGTGGAAATGGTAGCAGTTGTCTGAAGTGTTTTCTTTTTTCCCCCTTTGGATATTTAATTGACCACCAGTAAGTCAGCTACAATCAAACATACTGGCAGTGGCTCTGCATCATGGTCTGTTTAAATATGTAACTATTTCAGCTTTCTGAACTAAAAATGTAAACACTGCACAGTTCATCATGGTGGTAAACGATAACATCAGCAAGAACGAGTGCCACTGGGATGATTTGAGCTCAAATTGTGGGGCGTTTATGATTTTTACACCACACTTATTAAAATCTGTCTGGGTATTTCCTATTTATAAAATGTGTGCTTTACAGGAGGCGAGGCATTTTCAGTAATGTGCCGCACTGCATTCATTTATTTTTGGTTGTAATCTGAAGTTTGATCAGTTTGAAGATTAGAGAAGACGAGATGCATGGGTCATTTGGATAAGTTCTCCTTTATATCTACATACAGACATTTCTGAATAAAGAAAAGACATTCAAACACATTAAGGCACAACACATCATGACGCACATCCTCAATCCCCCCCCTGCCCAAACAATTACAAAAATTCAGAGGAAAAAAACAAAGACCCCAAACATTGAATTTCCTTTCCTTGACAAAAAAAACATACACCACTGTCCCTTAAGTTTATTGTAAATAATTTACACAAGTTTCTGATGCAGACTGTGTTGTGGTGATTATATCACCAGGAAGAAAACGCTTACAAAAAAAAGCAGCTGTTATTCCCGCACACAGAATGGCTGTACAGAAAAGCCCATAAAATGTGTTTGAAGATAGTTCGTCCGAGGTGACCGACAACAGGCCTGATACTAGTCTGTGTGCACCAGAACAAACCAAACATCAAGGAGGTGCCCAGGAAATGTCTTCTCCCAGGCCAAGGGAAGTCTTAAGCCTGAACAGGCTTTCAGTCAGCTGTAGCTGCAAGGACGGTAGATATTGGGGAGGAG